TTCTGCCAGTGCCTTCAGGGCAACTTGGACTTCTTTCTTCAGTAGCATCATTCCTTGATTCTGTGCTACCTCCTGAAATGGTTGCATATTGACCAATTCTTTTTGATGTAACAACTGGACATTCCTTCCATCTTCTTTTGATTTTTCCTGTGTTCAATATTTTACCCACAGGATCCATCAATACTTCAACTCGGGCTTGAATTTTTTATTTCTTCAATTCATTCGGTTTGAGAAATACTGAGCATGTTCTTCCATTTGGTTTTCTAACTCTAGATCTTCCCACATTCCATTATTATAATACTGTCTTTCCAGGTCACCCTTTGTAATCATCTGTTCAGCCCTTTGGCTCCATCATGTCTTCCTTTCGTGTCAGCTACTTTATGTTCCAAGTCTAGCTTCAGAGCTCTTCTTCCATCCCTTTTGGTCTTTTCTTTCTTTGAATGGCAGTTTGCTTTCTTCATATATGATGAGCCTGATGTTATCGCACAATTCCTCTCTCTTGGCCATTAGTGTTCACTGTGTAAAATCTATTCTTCAGATAGTCTCTAAATTCAGATGGGTTATACTCAAGGTTGTGTTTTGACGCTTGTGAATGTGTTTTAATTTACTTCACTTCCAACTTGAATTTGTATATAAACAATTTGTGGCCTGTTCCACAGATAGCACCTGACTTAATTCTGCCGAATGATTTTGAGCTTCTTCACTGTCTCTTTGCACAAATGTAGTCTACTTGATTCCTGAGTATTCTACCTGGCAAGACCCAGGTGTATAGTCACCATTTATACTTCTGAAAAAAAAGGTATTTTCAATGAAGATGCATTTGGTCTGGCAAAACTCTGATCATCTGATCTCCAGGTTCATGTCCATCAGCAAAACCATACCTTCAAACTGCTCATCTTTCCTCTGTTTCCAACTTTTGCATTCCTGCCACTGGTAATTACCAATACAACTTAATTGCAGATTCAATCAACTTTGTGCTGCAGAAGTTGGCAAGTGTCTGCAGTTTCTTCAACGTTGACATTAATAGTTGGTGCACAAATTGGGATAACAGTTGTAATAACTCGTCTTCCTATAAGCATATGGATACCACCCTATCACTGACAGTGTTTTATTTCCGTATAAATCTTAGAATGTTCTTTTTGATGATAAATGTGACATTGCTCCTCTCCAACATATCATCCCCAACACAGTAGACCACATGAGAGGTTCATCTTGTGGCACTGTATCAGACAGTGTTCTACTGTTATACATAAGGTTTCCACTGGTCAATTTTTCACAGGTGGATTTTAAGTCTATGTTAAGCTTGACACCTGTGTTAGTCTAAAAACCCACAGTTGACCATGGGTGACCCTGCTGGTCTTTGATAGCTTCTAGCATCATAGCAGCACACAAGCCACCACAATACCACAAACCGTCAGATGAGTGGTGGGAGCAAGAGATATCTTTTTTTTTTTTTTAGGCAGTATCAAAATAGCTTTCCTTCCCACACTAGAATCATTCTGACTGCTTAAAGGTCTCAAAACAGATGAGCTCAAGAAAATTAAAAGCCCATGGTATGGGTTGAATAGTGTCCTCAAAAAAATATGTACGGTCAATCCTAACTTCTATGCCCATTGTAATCATTCAATTTAGGAATGGTTTGGCTTTGTTATGTTCAGGATACAGGATTAGTGTAGGGTATATCTTAAATCAATCTCTTGAAATATAAAATAAATTTTAAAAGCAAGAGCAAGAAAATATGGGGTGAGATAGAAAGTGACAGCTGGAGCTCTCTAAGGAACCAAGAAGCAGGTGAAGAGACAGAGCCTTCCTCTGGTGCCTACAGAGAAAGCACACCTTCACCTATGATTACATTTCACCTTTTTTTTATTGTTTCAAAGAATGTTTAACAATTCTATTGGCACTTAATCCACATATCACAATTCAATAGTTCAATCACATCAAGAACAGCTGTACAATCATTACCACGATCAATTTTAGAACATTTTCTTCTCTCCCTCCTCCCCTATACATTTCACCTTTTAAAGTGTAGCCACCATGAAGCTCTGAATTAGATTTCTAGCCTCCTAAACTGTGAGAAAATACGTGTGGTATTTCTGTTGCGGCAATGCTAAGACACCCCGGAGCCAGTAAAATATCTAACCATAAAGAGAATACATGTTTCTTTTCTTTTCTTCTTTTTTTTAATCATTTTATTGGGGGCTCGTGTAACCCTTATCAAAATCCAAACATCAATTGAATCAGGCATAGTTGTACATATGTTGCCCTCATTCTCTTCTAGACATTTACTTTCTATTGAGCCCTCGGTACCAGCTCTTTTTTTCTCTCCCCCCTCACCCTCATAACCCCCCGATAGATTGTATATTGCTATTATTTTCATCTCTCACACCGACTGCTGTCTCGCTCCCCCCATGTTTTCTGTTGTTCTTCCCCCTACAAGTTTATTTTTCATTCTGAAGTTCAAATTGATGAAGCATTTAGTAGAAATATCATCTTAAAACAAATGCAAGATTTTTAAAAAAGTCACTGCCAAAGATTTATTTTGGGAACATTACACAACTACTTGTCTATCAGCCTTTAGTCTAGGGCTACATCATCTGATTTAATGGATTACCAACCACTTATCACAGCCAGATTTCAATTTTCTAAGTTATAATGGACATTATAAACATAAATAAAACCATAAGTCTCATTTTAGCAATAGTTTTAAAATTTCTGTCCCAACTAAATGTATTTTTTTACCAGACCTAACAGGTAACTGAATCGATCAATGAAAGTGTTTCTTACATGATAGGATAGTTGTTCACATGATCACTACAACAAAAATTAGAAAGAAGGGGGGGTGATTCAAGGATTTGAAAGAATGAAAGAAGGGGCTAGACAATTCACAAACAGTATGAACGGTGACCTTAACAGAGGTCCGACTTACTGAACTGAAAAATGACTAATGCATTGTCATCTCATTTTTGACATAATGGCCAAGTCACTGAAGTCAACATGCTAAAATTTAAAACTGATTTTTGAAAAGAAATCATTCTGGGTACCAGTATTCTACCATCACAGCAGTTAATAAAGTTTACAAATCAGCAGTTCCTAGTCCTCCTTAAGGATTAACTAGTGCTTAAGTTAGAATTAAGTAATGCTATTGATAAAGAGCAATGGAAAATTTGGAGGAAGAAGTGGGAAATCAACCGCCCTCTTCCACATGCTCGATTATACTGGGCTATGAGTAGCTATGAGAGTGAGATCAGCAATGGGGGATACCAATCAAAATGGCATCTGACTTTTCAAATGCAGCCACGCTTACACCAATGGGCTGCTTCCCTATGAATGTCCACCTGAGAGCGTAGAGACTGAGAAAAGCAAGTACACTCTTAAATTCTCAGCCAAATTTTCCAACAGATCTAGAATAAGATCTAGTAAGAATCAGCTATAAGAAGCAAACCTGGTCACCATAAAACCTACTCAACTCCACACTACTTTTTAAAATGAATTCTTGCTAATACAAAAATTCCAGAAAGAAGCCTTGGAGACTTGCTTTTCTGTTGGACACATGCCATTTATCTATTGACAGAGCATGCCATTTATCTATTGACAGAGGTCACTAAAAAATACTGTTAGGTGTCTGAATCAATGTGTTATTCTCCAGTTTTCTTGCATAACCTTATTTCTCTGAAGTGAAAGGTGATTAAATATAAATATTAAGTGTGTAACACCTTTCTCGATACAGATAAGTACACATACATTTGAATCGTTGTTTTATGCCATATACCCAATATGCTTTATGGCAAAGAACCCGGGCAAAGCCACTGCATTATGAACAGAAGTGAAATGACAACAGTCCTCAAAATATAACTCTCCCATTATATACCCAAGTATTCAGCAAGGCTATAGAAAACAAAATACGTATCTAAGATATTTATGTAGCAATAAATTTTGCATGCACACATTTCATTAATAACCGAGTTTTCTGATCATAATGATGATGCTTAGCTGTATTAAACTCTGAAATCTTTGAGAACACAGAAAACAGACTCAATGGTTCTTCCAATTTACAATGATGCCATTTCACCTTTACAAGTAAAGGCACCACGAAGCAACGCACACGGGTGCATCTCTGGCTTCCTTTCTCTCCACCGACTAAATGGATCCGACTCGGTGCAAAACCTGCTCATTCCTGCCACCAACACACACACACACACACACACACACACACACA